ATCTATATATTATTACCTTACACTTAATATTATACATCAATGATTGCAGACATGGATCCCTCAGAATCAGCCCCCACATGTGACCAAGGTTTATCTGTTCGTGTTTTTCTTGTTATGTTTTTTTCACCGACATTGATTTGAGGATAATAAACTGTGACATGTATATACTCGTGTTATATGTTGTGACTCGTGAGATTTGTTATAATAACAGGAGGAAATTATATCTATATAAGCAAATAACCAATTAGTACCGCAAGAAACAAAAACGTAAACTCCTTTAATTTATGAATAACTAATCAAAAAATTATTGTATGGTTTGAATTACATTAGATTATTATAAAATTAAAGATGCGTAACTAATAACCATAAGGAACAGAAATTGCTGATTTAAAACTCTATCCCTGAATATGACCACACCATAGTACATAAAATAGCTCCAAATTCATGAAACTGGAATCACAAAACAAATAACACTGTTGGGTTTCCACTGGTTGCATACTTGCATTATAAACATGAGTTAAAATTCTATCAAGAAAATAAAGGAAGATTCATAATTTCCAATTTAAAGCCGAGAGTAACAGAGATTCAATAGATAAAACTTACAGAACGGGAGGAGCATCAAATCTGTAGCTAAACATTCCCTTGTTTAGGTGCCTGCAAAATTGAAGCATTTCTTAGATCCACACATGGAATAGGTTATCTTAACAATCATGTCCCAGTTGTGAAGACATATCTGACAAAAAATAACACTTCCACACTAAAATAAGGACTACAAAGGATCAGCATGCTCTCTTTCACTATCTCTCAAAGTACTTGAAAGCATACTAAAAACATACATAATTATGCCACCATATGAAAATAACAACAAAGATATATAACCGCTGGTTGTAATTGCCATAACTCAAACATCATAAGTTTTTGAAGAGGTGCTGACTAGCTAAGAAGTAACACATCAACCCTAAAGGATGTTTTACGTCAATAAAGAACTGTTCTTACCATAGCAGGTGGTTGACAGAGTGTTCTCACAAGTGCAATACTGAAGGGTGAAGACCTTCAAAATACTTGCTGAACGTTCTGGGTAAACATATGCTTTCAAAAAAAAAATAAAGAAAAAAAAGAAAGAAAGAACGAAGAAAGAAATCAAAAGGGATGGAAATAAAAAGATGCATCGTGGCCTTAAAAAATAATAATAATAATAATAACATGAACTGAGGAAGGAAAAATAAAGAACTTTATTAACATCAAAGCAAACCAATCCATGTCATTCCGAACATCAATGGAAATATGGAAAAGGAAGAAGACATATCTATATGAAATTAGGCACAACTACTTCTAACGTAGAGAGAATGTTGAATCCTTCTGAGTATTTTTCCTTTGTTTTTGGCCATAGAATCCTTCTCAGTTGAAATCTTTCAATCTTTTCTTCAGCATGTCCAATGACTTCTTTCTAGAACTTTGCTTCGTGTTTCTGCTTGAAAGGCTCCCAAAGATCCCATCTGCAGAATCTTTGAATTTTTCACAAATAGTAGCAACCCTCTTGTAATCCAAAGCATTGTAATTCCTCTCCCTAATCACAGGATTCATGAAGTTCTCTGGTTGACTGCTGGACAAAAGGTTTATTAGTTGTCGAGCTTCTACCAAGTAGCTTCTAAAACTACCATCCTTGTATATCTCGCTCAAGCCAGTGCTGTGAAATCTCTCATCAGCAAAATTCTCTAGCATCTTTAGATCATTGTTTAGAGCCATGACTGCATTTGCATTGAACCTCTTGACACTATCACTAAGAAATGCTGACACAATAGAATTAGAAATGTACTCAAGAGCCCCACTTCCAACTTTGTACAGAGCATCCAAAGGCAAAATTTGCTGTGCTGTTGACAAAATAGTGTCAAGGTAAATAACCACCTCATTCATATATTCGCTATTACTTTCAGAAATTTCCTCTGAAGTCCAGTTGATATTTTCTGTAAGTGCCATAAACTCATCCAACTTAGCATTCACCAAGTTCAACAGAGCAAGATAAGCTGCATCTCTTGAAGTTTTAAGGACAACTTTTGCTGTTAGAGTATCTTGAGGCCTTTCTACTGATCGGGTTGGGATCCCACATAGTTGGGCAGCATGTCGAATAAAAAAATCACATGCTCTTTCAAAAAATGCTATGTTTGCAGCTATCTGCATGGCTTGAGATACACCAATACCGCTACCTTGAATCGTATCAAGTATAACTTCATTTAAGACATCAATCAAGAGCTTGTCAAGGTACTTCCTCAGAACATCATAAAAATTAGTGTGCATTCCATAAGACAAGTAATCAACAGACCCTTTGATGAATGAACGGACAATGCGGCAACAATCAGGTACCATGGCAGAAAATGGTGCAATATATGGGAAAGCTGGCATTATATCTGAAGTCTGTAGATGGAAAGCCAGAACATTACTCTGATAGTCAGTATCCTTTTTCATTATCATCTGTTCATATGTATCATTTGAAAGAACATTGGTAATTTGCTGCTGGCACTCTTCCAAGAGGAGTTCATGGTATTTGTCTCGGCTATTGTCCATTGTCTCATTAATTGGACCCATTTCATACCCGTACTGTCTGAGGGTTGACACAAGAAGACTAACGTAATCCTTCACCAGAAGAAGATGTGTTGCAGATTCCATTTGAGAAAATTGTTCCTTCAAAATAGATGTTATTTTAGCTACAGCTGTTTCCCACATTGTCTCAACTTGATCAGCAGACAAGACGCCACCAGCAGTTCTCAGGACTCGATCTTCCACTATGAAGTACCCAGCAATTTGTGCTAGAAAAGTTTGATAAGATTCAACAAATGGTTGTCCATAAGAGATTTGCAGGTCAGAACTTAACTGCAACATCCGATTCTTATAATAATATTCACGAAACTGCTCTGAGTTTCCAAGGCAAGTATAGATGTGGTATGCCCGATAAAGAGGTGTAAGATCAAACTTTAAAATTGCATCATCATCACTTTGCTCCACATCCAAAGTATATGCCAATTCTCCCAATGCTGAAACATTTTGCTCCTCCACTTTCCTCTGTCGTTCCAGCATTTCCTCATCCCTCTGACGTGCTGATGCAGCATGACCTATTGCTGTCTGTCCAATATTCTTTGCAGAACTTCTGACATGAACTAGCCACTCATTAAACTGACTAGTAACCTTCTTCTCAATATGTGATTTTATTACTGGAATGGTCATCCCTACCACCATCTTGAGTGATTTCAGGGGGATATTCTGCAAGTAGTTCTTCTCAATCAGGTCCAAATTTTTCAGTGCAGGGTAAAACTGACCCTCAGAGATATGAGTGTTACATTTAGCACATAGCTCCAAGACTTGAATGCAGGTCTTTGACATTTTTATAGCTTCAGTCACATTTTTCTTAATTGAATAGGACTCCAGAAGCTCTTCAAGTTTTACCAAGAAAGCACTCCCAACCTCTTGCAACTTAAAATTATCACTAGCAAGATCACTTTTTAACTCTTCAGCATCAACCAACACACCACGAAGCTCATCAACTGCAAGAATAAATTCCTCATAGTGCGTCTTGCAGAGGTCCTCAATTTCAGTTTCTTTCTTTTTCACAACATTCTTTAGCTGCTGGACTAGTGGTTCTGGCCGCCCAGTTTCAAATGCATGTCTAACAAGAGGACCCACATCATCCCCATTCCCGATCAAAGTTGCAAGCACTAAGTCCTCTCCTGTATCCCCATTCTCTGTAATAACTTTCTTCTTGGGCTTCATATCCATTATTTATATCAAAAACTGCATGGTAAAAATAAACGAAAAACTAAACAATCAGAAAAAATGAATAATTCTGAGACTATTTTATGCAACAACCATAACCATATGAAAGAACAAAAAATCTAAACAGAAGTATTCATCTTTTTTTCTTCCTGTCACATTCACATTGGTTTTCCTTTCAACCACCTATACATACATGGCTAATAAATCTACATCAAAGAGAACACTTGGACGGGTTTCTTTCAGACCAAATAAAATCGAAATGCAAAACAAGCAACACAAATTAAAAATATCAAAATAGCCATATTTGGGAAGATTTCAACAGAAAGTGGATCTTAACAAAATTCACAACAATCCTTTGAATCAATGTCATACATCAAAGAGATAACATTTCTTTTAATCCGAGGGCAATAGAAAAGGAAAATGCACACTCAACAAGAGGGACCAGGCAGAGAGGAAGTAAAAACTCAGTGGATATGAATCTAGAACAGTGATTTCATTTCTGGGTTTTCCTCAAACACAACCCCATAAATCAAACAAAAATAAATCAATACCACCCACATAATCAGAACGAGTTATAAATTCCCATTTCCATTTTAGCAAAACAACAATCAAGCACCAACAAAGCAAAACTAAACATAATAACAGGAACCTCACTCCCAACACAACAATCATGCAACCAAATGAACATGCAATAGAGAAATGAAATTCGAAAAGATATTAAAAATCCATTAGATTAAAAGAAAAGGGTCGTTCATAGGTTGGAAAAAGAGCAGAGCTTGATCGTGACAGAAACACTTACATGGAGAAGGTTATGAGAACTGGGTTTGAAAACTATCTGTGCAGAAGTACGAAGGAGATCAAAAGGGTCGCGTTAAGTTGTTGATTCTCGAAATTATCTACGTATTAATTTGTCTTTTGTTCTTCGTAAATGTGTAGGCTTCCCAGTGCTAATTCATGTCCAGATTTTGCGCTTGATTTTGTTTCCGCTGTTTCCACTGCGGCGGTTGCTCCTTACCGTTTACGGAGAAGTTAGCCAGGTGCGCTTCTGGACTGCAGTGTATCCGGTCCATGGGCCTCTTGTGGACCCTCATTATTTTTATATATTTTTTATTAAAGATTTTTTTAATTGTATGCAATAAATATATTTTTTTATTTTAAATATGTATAAAAAATAAAAA